TAGGAAAGCGATTCCTCTTTTTTATTATTATTTTTTTTTATCATTATTTTTTTTTTTTATTACGGAATGCTTCAAAACACACACACACACACACACACACACACACACACACACACACACACACACACACACACACACACACACACACACACACACACACACACACACACACACACACACACACACACACACACATCCGGTCACGTCACTCCACTCTCACCTCAAGTAGTGCCCTCGCTCATGGCCCGAGTGCCCGAGTGCCATGAGAGGGGGTTTAAAGGCACGCTCGGCACCTAATCACTTCCTGACCTTTGACCTTTGACCTTTGACCTTGCGGGCGTAATGAGATGCTTATTGGGGTGATGATTTTTATGCCGTGTTTTCTTAGTGGCTATTTCTCTCTTTTTCTTCTCTCTTTTATTTTTTTCTATTTATCTCTTTCTGTCTCTCTCTCTCTCTCTCTCTCTCTCTCTCTCTCTCTCTCTCTCTCTCTCTCTCTCTCTCTCTCTCTCTCTCTCTTCTATCTATCTATCTCTCTCTCTCTCTCTCTCTCTCTCTCTCTCTCTCCTCTCTCTCTCTCTCTCTCTCTCTCTCTCTCTCTCTCTCTCTCTCTATCTATCTATCTATCTATCTATCTCTCTATCTCTCTATCTCTCTCTCTCTTCTATCTCTCTCTCTCTTCTCTCTCTCTCTATCTCCTCTCTCTCTCTATCTCTCTCTCTCTCTCCCCTCTCTTCCCTTCTCTATTCCTCCCCTTCTCTCTCTATTCTTCCCTCTATTCCTCTCCTCCTCCCTCCCTCTCACTCTCTTTTCTGTCTCTTCTTCTTCCTCTTCTTCTTCTTTCCCTATAAACGCTGATCGACATCCTCGCTGTGTTTAAACGCCTCCCTCTGCTTGTTTGCCGTGTGTGTAGCAAGGGTGTTTATGCTGGCCTGGATAAATATGTACAGAATAATCTAATGTACATATTGTATATATGTATTTCATTTCCCTTCGCCCATTTAAAAAAAGTCTTCTACATGTACTTCTTCGTCTTCGTCTTTTTCTTCTTCTTCTTCTTCTCTTGGTCTTCCTTCCGTCTCTTGTAGTCTGTTCATTTCTCTTTCTTTTCTTCTTTTTCCTCCTCCTCCTCGTTCTCCTTCTCCATCTCCCTTTCCTCCTTTTATTCTCCTTCTTCTCCTCCCCCTCCATCTTCTTTTCCCCCCTCCTCCTCCTCCTCTTTCTCCTTCTCCTCCTCATCCTTCTTCTTCTTCCTCTTTCTCGTTCGTCTTCTTCTTTCTCCTCCCCTCCTCCTCCCCCCCCCTCCCCCCCTTCCCCTCCTCCTCATCCCCCCTCCACCTTTCTCCGCCCTTCTCCTCTCCCCCTCTCTCCCTCCTCCTCCTCTCCTCTCTCTCCTCTCCCCCTCTCTCCCTCCTCCTCTTCCTCCTCCTCCCCCCCCTCCCCCTCCCTCCCTCCCTCTCCCCCCTCTCCCTCCCTCCCTCCCTCCACCTCCACCTCCACCTCCCACCTCCACCTCCACCTCCACCTCCTCTCCTCCTCCCTCCTTCCTCCTACCTCCTTCCTTCTCACAAGGCCAGCGAGATTGAATTCTTTTTGAGCTTTTGGAATTTGAGCTTCCGTCACTGAAGTACGGCTGACGAGTAGGCGGGGCTTGGGTATCCAGGCGGGGCTCTGTGGTGGGGCGGGGGTTTGTGTACGTCGGTTTGTGGACGGGCGGGGTTTGTGGACGTGGCTGGGCGGGTTTGTGTACGTGGGCGGGGTTTGTTGTACGTGGGGGGTTTGTGTACGTGGCGGGGTTGTGTGGGTTTGTGTACGTGGGCGGGTTTTTCTGTACGTGGCGGGGTTGTCTACGTGGGCGGGGTTTGTCAACGTGGGGCGGGTTTGTTGTCCGCGGGTTTGTGTACGTGGGGGTGTTTGTGTACGTGGGCGGGGTTTGTGTACGTGGGCGGGTTTGGCGTGGGCGGGGTTTGTGTACTGGGCGGGTTTTGTGTACGTGGGCGGGGTTTGTGTACGTGGGCGGGTTTTCTGTACGTGGGCGGGGTTTGTCTACGTGGCGGGGTTTGTCAACGTGGGCGGGTTTGTCTACGTGGGCGGGATTTATCTTTGTAGGCGGGTTTTGTGTACGTGGGCGGGGTTTTGTGTACGTGGGGGGTGTTACGTGGGCGGGGTTTGTGTACGTGGGCGGGGTTTGTGTACGTGGGGCGGGTTTGTGTGGGTTTGTGTACGTGGGCGGGGTTTTTTTGTGGGCGGGTTTTTGTGTACGTGGCGGGGTTTTTCTTTGTAGGCGGGTTTTGTGTACGTGGGCGGTTTTTCTTTGTAGGCGGGTTTTGTGTACGTGGGCGGGGTTTTTCTTTGTAGGCGGGTTTTGTGTACGTGGCGGGGTTTTTCGGGTTTGTGTACGTGGCGGGGTTTTTCTTGTAGGCGGGTTTTGTGTACGTGGGCGGGGTTTGATTTCGTGGAGTGTGTACACGTGGCCAGGACGTTTCTTCGTGGGCGGGGTTTACAAATATGGGCGGGGCTTGCGCAAGTGGGCGGGGAGCACGTGAGACGATGGTAACTACAAAAAGAAGGAAGAAGAAGGGAAAACTAGACGCGAAAGAGTCAAAATACGAAAGGAAAATAGAAGAGAATAAGGAGAGGTGGAAGTTTGATTAGAAGAAAGGAATAGTGGTTGTGAGAAAGAAGAAGGAAAAGAAGAAGATGAAGAAGGAGGAGGAGAAGAGGAAAAGAAGAGAAGAAGAAGAAGAAGAAGAAGAAAAGGAAGAGGAAGACGAGAAGAAGAAGAAACTGGAGAAAAAAAGAAGATGAAGAAGAAGAAATAGTAGGAGGAGATGAAACAGTAGAAGCACAAGAAGAAGAACGGTGAAACACGAGCTTTTACACCTTTATTACTTGCAGATAAACATTTATGTACTCTTCGAAACTTTATTGTTTATATAATCATTCGAAGCTATGATTTTTTTTTTTTTTTTTTTTTTTTTTGAAATTTGCGACGTTGTTTTGTCTCATTTCGATGTCTGAGATCTTGCACCTTGATTAATCTTTATCGAACCTGATTATTATCTTAGGAAGAACAATGTATTTCGGCAGTGGGTTTTTGTTTTCAACTCAGACCTGACATTTAATATTCAGTTACTTATTGGAAAAAATGTCATTAACATCGATCAAAATGATTGGCTAGGGCGCGCGCT